CCGAATTGCCATCATTAACCAAGGGCCTTTTAGGAGGGCAATAGTGCTGGGGAAGCCCCTTATTAAAGGAGAGGGAATCTTGAGGTCATCAGTTGATGGATGATGAAAGGTTTGGGTTTTCCAAGATTGCTATTCCCTTATAAGAATTCTCCTTGGGCTGTCTTGTGGGCTGGTGAGGAGGCTTCTATTCTTTGGTTTTGTGCGATTGCAGGGGCTTGTCCAGAGCAGGGAGGGTTAATTTGGGTCTGCCAGAATTAGACAAAGAGAAGAACTGGGTTTAATCCTGGTCATATCTAAAAGACAGGGAGAAAAAGAGTGCAACCTCCATTTTGTTTGCTAGGTTTATTTTCTCAACTATGTTATTTTCTGGAGCAAACTCCCTTGCTTTTTTTTACCCATGTCATTATTTCAACTTGACCTTTTACATTCATAATAGTGTAAGTGGGATCCAGACAACTCTCATTATTACTTAGTCATTAATCCATCTTTTCTCTCAATTTCATCCTTGTTCCGGCCTCCTAATCCAATGGTGGGTAGTGTTGGTCACATGCCATTCTCAACCCCTATTGTGCACCCCACAAAGCACTAGTAGCTCGGGCTATCAAAATTCAGTGAGAAAACAAAAGTCAAATACCTGAAGATATATTCAACAGCAAGATGTGCAACAATAAAAGAAGATAACTACATAAAATTACTAAAAAAAATAAAATTAGATTTGGAAAAGTGGAAAAATCTACAACTTTCAATGCTAGGGAGAATAGCAACAGTGAAGATGAATATTTTACCAAAACTATTCTTTTTATTTCAAACAATACCTATAAAACTAGGATTTTTTTTTTAGGAAATTAAACACATTGACTTTGAAATTTATTTGGCAAGGAAAAAAAGCTAGAATTAGATTGAAAATGCTATAAGAAGCAAAAGAAAATGAAGAATTTGGGCTGCCAGATTGGCCCTTATATTATCAAGCATCTGTATTAACTTGGTTAAAATAAAAGGATACCTGCCTTCTTATGGTATGGGAAGAATAAAATACACAGATACCTTCAAAACCACTATATAAGAAATGCACTGCTTCTAGAATGAGAAAAAGTAAAAGCAAAAATTTATATGAAAATACCTGGATGGCTTTCAACAATGGAAGTGCTTGTTCACCCAAACTTAATTAACTATGAGAAAATTGTGACTTATAAAGACATTTTGAATACTGAAGGGAAACTAAAAACCAGATAAGAACTGGAAGAACAGGGCATTAATTTATCATAGTGGCCACACCTGCAAATTCAAACAAGATATGAAAAAGATGCTAAAACATCTGGATTTTACAAAGAACAGACAGAATTTGATCAGATATTATTGACATCAGATGAACAATTGATTAAGAAACTGTATAAGTATATGTTAAGTTTAAAGATGGAAGAGGAACAAGTTAAAGAAACAATGATAATATGGGCATAACACAGACTTAGAAAACTGGCAAAGCCTTTGGGAAAGAAATTCTAAAATAACAAAGACGGTGGTTTACAAAGAAACCTATATAACATGCTTTACAAATGGCACTTAACACCTGTGAGGTTAGCAAAAATGTTTAAAAATATGTCTAGTAATTGTTGGAAATGTAGACAAAAACCAGGCACATATTATCATCTTTGGTGGACATGCCTTAAAGCCAAGAATACATATATGGTTAGAGAAAATGACTAAAAAACACATAGATTTTAAGCCAGAATTATTTTTGTTAGGTATAATTGTAGGAAATTATGAGAAGGAATGTGTATACTTAATGTTACATATGTTAACTGCAGCAAAAATTGTATTTGTTCAACATTGGAAAGATGAAGAATTACCAGCAGAGGAAGAGATAATTAAGAAAAGTTTAGATTGTGCAGAAATGGACAGACTGACACTGAAAATGAAAGAGAAAAAAGATTCAGATTTTTTAGAACATGGGATACATTTTACCAATGGTAGAGAGAAAGTAGTTTAATATGTATTAGTAAGCTAAATATTGAAACCCAGACATTATGTTGCTGATAAAATATTAAGCCTTTGTGACTATAAAAAATTAATAAAATATTGGGGAAAAAAGAAACATTGTCTCAACATTATGCAGAATGAAGGAATGGAACTGAACTGGAATGATGAGAATTTTTAAATTTAGCTGAGAAAAAGAGGGGCATGAAATGTCATACCCAAATGGGTTTAATCCATACAATCTCCATCCTGGTCAAAGACCATGATAAGATTTAACCCATACAATCTTGGATAAGTAAGTATACTAATAGTTCCCAAAAGGAAGCTACTGTTTCCCTATCCAAATCCTATATTTGTCATTCATTTTCCCTTCCCAATGATTAAAAAATAATGATTTGGCACACACACAAAAAAAAAACAAATTCAGTGAGAAAACGTCTGACTTTTAGCAGTGTTTTTTTTTTCCTAGCCCCTCTTCCTAGGTTCAAATGGATGGCCATTTAGCCAGAAATCAAAGAGATGCTAATCAGTTACTGAAAACATTTAGTGATATTATTTGAAGGACATTCTGAGCCAAAATAATAGGAATGGATGTCTTAAGTCTTGAAGAAGCCAAACGTATCCACATCCAGCTGCAAAACATTTCGGGAAGAGCTCCCAACATAGGCCAAAAGTGTTCTATCATCAGATGATGTCCCCCCCCATCCTTGTACACTCTCTTGCAGGCTTAGGATGGTAGGCACATCTGGCTACCCTGCTCAACAGATATAACAAATTTAACTATAAAAAAACTATTTTCCGAAGTTGTGGATGTTCCATAATAGCACAATGTCTTCATAGGATTTGGAAATTGTTTTTGATACTACAGTAGGAGTCTATGTTCCCCCTTCTCCCTCTGTTATCTCCCCTACTCATTCCTCTGAATAGATTAATTGTTAATGAGTCTGTGAACCAGTGTTACTTTGTACTTGCCTCAATTCCACAATTTAATATTACAAATGATCTCTTTTGGCATTGCTCTGTACTTTGCTTTTAGCATCTGCTGTTGTGCTCCCATTCAGATTAGATATGTGGGTGATCTACTTATAATCACTTATTCTCTCTCTTTCTGTTAATTTTATACATTTGTACACTAAGGATGTGCAAGAGCCTAATTTCTTTTGCAGCTCAGATAAACATAGCCATACTGGATGTGTCTAGCAGATCAGAGGACAACTAAATATTCTGGATTCCTCCAGAACAATCTATTCCCAGAAATGTAGGGTTTGCCTAAAGCTTAAGTACAATATCTAGCTACCCCAATTCCGAAGATCATAAAGATACACATGAAGCAAGTATTCTCCAGAGATACTTCCTTTACCCATTAATTGGTTTCAATTGGCCTTGGAATCCATTTATTTACAGGCAAATAACAGTTTCTTTCAAAAGACAGACACAACACTCTGATGATAAAATTTAGCAAGGGGGGCTGAAGTCTTGCAATGTTTGAAAGTCTGGGATATAATATTAATGACCTAGAAATGAAAAAAAATGGGTTCTGAAGTGAGGCTGGGAAACTCTTTAACATGCACTACATTTTTTGGAGAGTGAGAGCATGGAGGTGAAAAGTGGGAGGACTTTTGTTATTCCTTCATCTTGAGGGAAGCACTGAGTTTTGTGCCTCGTTCAATGTCAGCATAAGGATGACTGTTGATTGGTCGGTGGCAAACTGCCCTTAGAAATCTTGTTTAGCATTTGAGATATGATCCTGTAACTGGAAAAGGGGAATTCTGTATGCAAAGCATTTGAGCCACTGAACTATAACTGAAACATTTCATTGTTCCATATGCTTTTTATTTAATATGGACTGAGCATCCTTCAAAAAGGAATCTGTTCTGCTTGTGTTTGTGTTTGTGGCCTGAAACTTCAGGACAGGATATTATTATTATGGTTGGGCACACAGCCAGCCAGATGTTTACACTGAATTTGGCATTTTTGTCTACCTATTAAGTCTGGACATCACATCTACCAGTCCTTTAGCTAGTGCTGTCCTTCACATCCTTTGAGTTCTTCCCAAGAATCTACGATGTTGTAATGTCTCAGTGTAATATATGAGCAGATCCAAGCAGTACAGACTTTTGTAATTAACAGATGGAATTTTTGTCAATATCCAGGGTTTCTAAGTGCTATCCAATATTTTTTGGATATGATATCCATCGGGACCATGATGGCCAGTTTCTGCCATAAATGTTGATTTTCAGATCTTGATAATTTGTGATCTTCTCCAGTTCTTAGACTTCTTTTCTACTGTCTCCTGGTATTTCCACCTCAATTATCCACACTATTCTTTTCAACCACAGTTAAATATGGTGTATTGTGAGCCAAGATTTTATCAGGAGCACCAACATAGGAGGTTTTTAAGATGAGGTTGAACAACCATTTGTCTGATATGTTATAGGGCTTCCTGCTTGAGCAAGGGGTTGAACTAGAAGACTTCCAAGGTCCCTTCCAAATCTCTTATTCTTTTAGTTTGTATTTGGAATATTTTAGATCATATCTGATTACGTTTTCAACTCTATATTCCCATCAATTTTTCATTAATGGCACATGACAATTTTTACAGATGTTCCAGTGAATCATTTTGGTGACTGTGTTATGTTGTTGTTTATAATCAGTTTGTGTGATCTTCATAGTATATGGTCATTTCTTTTTTGTACAATCTGCATTTTAAATCATTTGATAATATTTTTTTTAATTCTGAGCTTGACTGCATTAGTTTGAATAGCTTGTGCTTGACCAGCCAAAATCAAGCCTTCAGTTTCTTTTTTAATCTTCCAGTTGTAAGTCACTGCCAGATTTTATCTTTACCCACTTTCTCCTCAATATTTTGTAGAAATTGACCACATAATGCTTCTCCTTGCTAGCATTCTGTTTGTGTTTTTATTACATTATTTTGATATCCATGTTTTGTTTCCTGTACACTAAATTCCAATTTTTAATTTTCACAATGCTAGTTCTTGGCTGAATTTTACATCCACAGCCAATGCTTACTTTTCTTCTTTGACAATTTGTTTGACTTGAAGTAAACCTCTGTCTCTATTTCTGTGGAGCAGGTATAATCTATCAATATCACCATGAGAGTGTAATGCATAGTGAATAGTCATTAGCTTTCTTGTTGTTTGGTTCAACTGGTGTTCAGTTAATAATTCCAGCAGGGTATCATATAACAAGTATAGCCCAGGTATTGATGGGTTTGATTTGTTTCCACCATTCAATTTTGTCTTCAGCATTTTTCTTACTCTTGGGATGTATTCTTTGCTAACCATGTTTTTAACCTGTCCATGCTTGATGCTATCGAACTGTAAAATGCCCAGATACTTGTGAGCTTCATCCTGATGGTTACAGGTATATGTGAATAATCTGCAATTGGCCTCTTCCTCTTTACAGTGTGAATATTGGTGAACATTCAGTGTCACAGGGCACTTTTCCCAATGGTTGAAGGTGAAGTACTTCAACTGCAAAAAGTGAGAAAGAGTTTGTTCTAGTATGCACATAGTTGTATTAGATAGACGTATATGTTTTCTGAAATTACTATAGCAATTGAACCTTGGAAGAAGTTTATATGGAAATGGATCTCTCCATAGATACACAGTAGGAATAAAAAAAAATCTGTGCTGTGACGTGCAAAAGGTGAAGTGACTACAGAGAGATTTGATTAAATAAATGACCGTATTAGGCGGGTCCTTTGGAACTCACTCCGGCGGTGGAAGAAATTACAGACGTGTCATAAGGACTTAATCGGTTGTCATAATGTGACAAACGGTACGTCACGTAATTGACATAGTCCACTGTCTTTACTACGGTACATTACAAGTGTAAGAGGAGATGCTTATAAACACCACATTTAAAGACCTCTCCTTGTGACCTTCCAGCAGATGGAGGGAATATTAATTAATTAATTGTTTGACAATGTGCCCTCTTTAAGCAAGTACTGATTGAGAAGGAGAAGGGGGAAAGAAACTGCCCCATGTTTCACCTGGCCCAGGATGTGGTGATTCAAATCTCATATTGGAATATAATAATAATAATAATAATAATAATAATAATAATAATAATAACAACAACAACAACAACAACAGCAACAACAACAACAACCAAGCACATACCTTTAAAGGATTCTATTTACTAAAGACTCACACTGAGTTTCAACCCAATTTTGAGTATTACCAGAGATTAAGAGTCAATAATTCACTAATTGTACTCGGTATCCACACTAGCTTTTTAAGTATTTTTTTTCCATCACACTTACTGGCTGTCCTTGAAAAGCAGCTCCAGGACCTTTCATCCAGAACAGCAATTGTTGCATTATAAGATACAGTGATAGGGGGGGAAATGGCAAGGAATCTAAAGTAAGAATGGCTGCATTTTTTAAGCAGTATTATAAGACTGTATATATACAGACTGTATATATACAGATATAAGACTGTGGTTAAAGTGACACATCTGATGGATATCAAAGCTCTTTGTTTGAGTCTTGAGTTGCAAATTATTAAAGATGATCACCAGGGCAAAAGTCGGTTTTCATGTAAGGGCTTATTTGCAGTTGCCACTTTTTTTTAATGCCCTTCCCCGTGGAAATTTGTGGTCGTCTTCCCTTTTCTCAGTGTTTTTTATTTTCTTCTCTTCCTCCCTTCAGGTTTGTTCCAATCTTTGGGCTCAAAAGGCATCTATTTGGCAAATAATGAATAGTTTGAGGGTGTAGTGCTCATGACCAAGATGCCCATTCCACAAGGCCTGTCTCAGCTCACCTTGCTGTACAAACTGGAGTAGATCCTATCCAATATCACTCTTAAAGTAAAACTCAGCAGAGAGTCTGATTGGTTTCTAATTGCATTATTTGGATGAAAAAAGCTAATCTTGTTAAGTTTAAAAAAAGTATGCTATTTTCCTCAGTGAAGTTATGTCAAGAAAAATACTTTTTTTTTTACTTTGTCAGGCACTGTGCATGGTCATATATATTGAGCCACTTCCAGGTTTCCTGAAAAGCTCTGATTAATGCACTCATGTTTGCAGCATCAAGTAAATGGGGTTTCTGCTCAAAGTTCTTGCAGTATGTTTGTCAGAAGAAATTCAGTATATTGTGCTTCTTGTAAAATCTCCTGAAGGTAAAGCCTCACCGCCATCTGCTGGCAAAGCAGAGAATTTATTCCTCAAACACTGAGATTTGAGTGAAATCAATTGCTATAAAAGCAAATATTGTTTGCAGTTCATATCTAGGACTACCTTGCTATCAGTTCTCAAAATTCAGGTAGCTACTAGAACAGTGTTTCTCAACCTTGACTATTTTAAGGCATGTGGACTTCAACTCCCAGAATTCCACAGCCAGCATTGCTGGCTGTGGAATTCTGGGAGTTGAAGTCCACATGCCTTAAAATAGTCAAGGTTGAGAAACACTGTACTAGAAAGTAGCAGAGTCTGGGCTTCTGCATCTCTTTGATGACATCTAGTGGTTGTCTGGCTTTTTGCAGCCCAGCTCCAACAGTGCTAATTTAATTATCATCAGTTGCTTTGGTCTCTTATAGTGGCTGCATTCAACAAGAAGCATATGTTTATTTAGCACTTTGCATAATGACATGTGTGACTGTATGTTGATGGCTGCTTACCTCAGTGGTTGATTCTTACCTGACTTAAATACACATTTATTAGGTCTGTGCCCTGCCGGGATGGCTTTTTGTATAACATAGCTGTGATAAATACACAGCATTGGCACTTTCATTGCTAACCCCTTCTTGCAAATTATTTTTTTTTCCAAAAGCAACTTATTACCACCTTCTAGAATTGTATGCAGCTATTTAGCAATGTAATAAACTCTATCTTAGGCATTCCTCCCATTTCCTCCCTGTGATAGAAATTACTCAGAAATGAGATTTTGGTTGCTTTAAAAAAGACTTTCAAAGAATTTAATCTGCATACTTAACCTGCAGAATCTCAGATAATATTTTTAATGGAATAACAGCCATAGGTTTTTCCACCAATAACTGTTTCCGTACATTTCACGTGCTTCTATAAGAGTTAGTGGCTAAGACATTTAGTACTTGGCAGAAATGCCACAATTCAAATTTACAGGACCTTGGGGAAGCTGCAATAGCCAAAAATATACATAGGGGACAATATTTCTGTCCTGTCTTCAAAATTGTCACAAGGATTATAGTTAGGAAATATGTGTGAAGCATTTTAATTAGCAGAAAGCACATATGGTAAATCTTCATATCATCTTTATTTTGCAAGTCAACTGCATTATTGTTTTCCAAAATGGTATCAATCCCCTATCATGCTGCCAAGAAAATTAAGGGGTGTGCATTCTAGAAGAGCAACCAAGTGAGATTGAAACAGAGTTTCATGTTAGATTATTTCAGTATTCCTCAGAAGCAGAACACTATATTCTTAGAAAGATAAAGTCATGTAGCACTGTAGCCACCAGTCAGTACTAGCCTTCATCAACTTGATGTCCTGCAGGTAAATTAAACTACAATCATAATTTTTTTATCCAACTATATTAAGTGGGTACTGTGACCAGTACAGCTTCATGCACTGGAAAAGGCTGATTTCAGTACAAGAGCTATTTTTATACTTAAAAGTACAGTATTTCATTCTTCTCTTTGCATGTTGTATATAACTTTGCCAAATCTATGTAGATATATTTTTGCAAGCCTGTTCTCTCCAATTGATGGGTGGCATAACTGAAAACAGGGTGTATCTGATAACATTTTTCCAGGTGGTAGTTTTATAAAAGCCAGAGCATGATTCTAGCACTTGGTCATGGAAGTTCTTCAAATTTATGATTCCAAAGACCACACTACTGGCAGGGAATAATACTGAAGTGGAAGCAAAAAAATAAACAAATAAAGTCCTTACGATCTTGAATTTCTGACCAAAAATCACAAAATAGATTTTAAGGTCAACATAATGACCTTCAGACATGATGGGATTCTAAGACCTGGAATTCACAGCAAGCTTGACCAAAGATTGCACTGGCTAAGGCTTCTGGGAGTTGCCATCCTAACAGATCTGGGGGGATAAAAACAGATCCTAACAGGATGGAAATGCTGGTAGTCTTAATCCCAAAGCACTAGTTTTATACTACTTTAACTGCCGTGGTTCTACTCTTCCAGAATTTGGGGAAACTTAGTCTGGCAAGGCTGTTAGAGATTTTATCTCATTATTTTTCTTGTGTTTTGAAGGGCATGGGAATAATAAATGCAGAATAACTATCTTTAACAACATTTGTATTATAAATTTCCTCACTTCACTTTGAGCACCTAGATTTTCCTTCCCACTGTCATCCTTGCTCCAATTCTGTGAGGTTGATGAAGCTGAAAGGTCACTCACTGAACTTTATTTAGGAATTTGGTAAATATCTGTATCTCATCCCCAAACAAATGTCCCTGGGATGCCTGCATTCAATATATGTAAAAGCAAATTAGATATATAATGGAACATTTTTAAACCCATACAAGCAAAAGTAACCTAAGAAGGAACGACATGTACTGAAGCTCCAAAATTAAAGATTCGGATTTTAAGACTATTTCAATGGCTTGGGTGCTCCTACTGATGAAAAATCACATACTTATTTATTTTGCATACCTTCTGCTTTTCTCCTAAGAGTTCAAGGTGACATTTAATGCAGTTTTTGCCAACAACCATGTGAAATGGCTGGGTTAAAAGGGAGCGGTTGCCCAAGTCACCCAGT